AGCCACAGCTAGTGCTCATCACAGATGACATATGTGTGATGAGGTAGAGGTGTGGAGGAGATGGAGGACGAAACATAAACATGAAGAAAGGAAATGGAAAGAATACGAGAGATGAGTGGAGAGAGTAGGTAGCCACACACGCGCACTCACGCACTGAGGTAGCGATCGGAGGTATTTTGAACAAGCAAGCCTAAACATATCGCCGTAGTGCTCTACAATGAGGTCAATATCCTTCCTGTTTCCAGTGTCACTATCAAGACAGACCTGTAAAGTTTAAGATCATGGTGGATGATAAAATACACTGGTCAAGATGATCGATCGGAATTTTGGTTGTCTATCTATAATATATAGACCCAACCATGAGAATTTTGATTGTGTTAATTGACTGAAAAGACATTTTAACGGCAGCCTGACATAAGCACAGCAATCTTACGGGATGCGATTATGTGTTTCGCATATATCCTATTATTCATACATAATCTCTTCCGTGTATTACGAATGGGCGTTACTTTGATTCCTTGAGCTACTGTCCTGAGCTACCGACTGCACCAGACTGCAGGTCACTTAATTAACCCTTAATTTACCCTTAAATTACCCTTCCCTCACTATATAGCACATGCACGCTTAACAAATTTCCCTTACATGATTATAGCAAACTGAAAATCAGTCCTTACATAACCTAATGACATGCGTTTCACGCGTCTTTCATACTAGAGCAGAGCCACGCACCGATGTCGATAAGCCAGGAGTGTATAATATAGTGTAGTCTATATTATACACTCCTGGACACGCCTTCCACTCTAGTCCTTCAACTTGACCAATTATTTACTCACCATTATTACGGTAGAATAGCTACGACGCCACGGTCGCGCATTACTCAGCATGATGACATTCGTGTGAGTCACACGCGAAATAAGCTCTCGTTCATAGCTCGCCCTGTCACCGGCTCAGGGTCAGGCGCCAGTATATCTATATCCCCCTCACGTTGATACACTTTTGCTGCCAACGTATTATTACAATTTACAGAGAGATTGGATGGCGGGGAACCTAAACGCTTCGCTTCCCGCGCTGCTGCTGACCATGCTGGATCTCTCTCTCTCTCACCCTGCTCGCCCCTATCCCTCCCTCTCTCCCCCTCTCTCCTGCAGATAGGTGTGTGTGTATGTGTATGTGTATGTGTGTGTGTGTGTGTGTGTGTGTGTGTGTGTGTGTGTGTGTGTGTGTGTGTGTGTGTGTGTGTGTGTGTGTGTTGCCGTGCGTGGCGTGCGTGCGTGCGTGCGTGCGTGTGTAGTGTGTGTAAAGTGTGTGCGCGCACGTGTATGTGTGTTGTGGGTGTGTGCGCGCACGTGTATGTGTTGTTGTGGGTGTGTGTGGTGTGGTGTGTGTGTGTGTGTGTGTGTGTGTGTGTGTGTGTGTGTGTGTGTGTGTGTGTGTGTGTGTGTGTGACCTTGTGTGCGTGCGTGCGTGCGTGCGTGTGCGTGTGTGTATGCATGTGCGTGTGTTTATTTGTTTGTTTGTTTGTTTGTGAGTGCTCAGATTCAAATCAGCAGAGCTACGCTTTCAATATGGCCCAACATCTTTCAGTCTATATATATTATATATCTTTATTCATCGCTGAACTGATCAAATGCACATCTAGCACTGTAAATTTTAGAAAAGCCACAGCTGTCAGCATCAGCATCATTAGCAGCAATGGCAGCAGCGGCAGCAGCAGCAGCAGCAGCAGCAGCAGCGGTGACACCGGCAACAGCAGCAGTGGTAGCACTAAAGACAGCGGCAGCAAATGCGTATAGTAGCAGTAGCAAATATTTTACTGTTATAAAAGGGATTTTTTGTATCCTCGCTCTCACTACTTACATCACGAAATTCTGGCAAAACTTGCTTTTATCGAAACAAAATAATTTGTGTGTAAAAGAGGCGGCGACACAATCTCAGTTTCAATCAGTCTATATGAGATTGATACTGTCTGCTTATACGTTCAAACGTGGAACAGAAGAGCCATAGCACGAAGTTGGCTAACCAAATTTACATGGTTAAACGCAACACAACATGTATAACGTGAAATACTTTCACGTTTCCCGTTAGTGCTCTTTTTATTTACTTGCATGCTTACTGGATAATTTTGTCTACTTTTAGAACCACGTTTGGAATGCTGGATACTGCCAATATGAATTGTTTAAGCGTGTTCTTAGTTCTTACCAATAAAAATATTTCTGCAAGGCGCATGAACATTGCACAGACTAAGCCTATTTTAATTTCGAAATTTGTTTTTAAATTAAAACAAACAAATGATAACCTCCTACCTGTCTCAGCAACTAAGCAGAAAACAGTTCATTTGCATATATGGCCAAATCTGCATTGTAGCGCGGAGAAACTTTACAAATTAATACTCGTACAAAAAGCAAGAAAAGAGCGATTCATGACAGTCATTATCACACTATCATATATGCACGAAAATGTATTATTATTGGCACTGGGCACAAAGCTTTGCTACTGCCATGGGACAGCATCCCAAAACAACTCTGTTGATATTGACTATCGATCATGTGCGCAGTTGGACACCAGCAGCCACAATTAAACATATGAATATACAATAAACTGATCATTGCAATCCCCCAACACACAACAGCACACTCACCTATTGTAAGCGCCTTCAACCTGATCATACCGAATGTCACAATGCATACTATTTTACAAAAAAATCTTCACCATACTTTTGCTAATAACATCTATAATCTAGAAAGGGCAGTTGTCGCCAACTACATGTATCCCCCGTGATCCAGTATGAATGAAATATATCTGTAAGAACGTAGAAGGTAAGTAAAGTTAAATAAGTCACAAATAGACAAAGGTTTGTTACACAACTCATCTGCCTGAGATGTGCAAGTATGTTAGAATTGGTTGCCTTAGGGGTTTTGGTACGTGACACACCTTCTCCCCAAGATGTGTAAGTATACCAAGTTTGATCGCGCTAGGTCAATTAGGCGACGAGTTATAGAGCGGAAGGGAAATATGATCAAGGTTAAAGTCAAATAAAGGTCGAAGTGACCTGGTTTTGGTACGCTGCGCACCTTCTCCCCAAGATGTGTAATTATACCAAGTTTGGTAGCGCTAGGTCAATGGGGTTAGCCGCTAGCTTTGTCAGCAGGTGGCGCAGTAGGAGCAAAGGTGTTACAACGATTGCGCAAGGAACCGGTCACTTGGAAAGATACAGAAATCACGCATAGCCGATCCTATCGTCATAGCGATATAACCAAGTTAAAATGCCTTCATACTGTTGTGTTCCTGGTTGTAAGTCGGCTAAAGCTGGTCATAAGTTTCCAGCGAACCCGAATCTGAACTACAAATGGAGGGTTGCTGTGAGGAGTTGAGGAAACCAGGAAAAAATTGTGGAAACCGATGATGCATTCTAAAATCTGCAGCGATCACTTCAGAGAGGACGACTATACTAGCACACTTTTAAATTTAAGTAAGTGTAATTTCGAAAATAGCTTATAAACATTAGTTATTACACAATATTAGCTCATTTTGAGGTTTGCAGTAGTTTTCTTGCGTAATCCATGCAGTCCAACAGGGGCTACAGTAGGCATATATTAGAGCAATATTGAGGGATATGCCTATATATTTCAACTCAAGAAAATTTAACATGGTGGTCTTATCTTACTGGTCATACCTTTCCCATTTTTTTAATAATATATTTTCATTAACGTTTTCTTAAATGTCATATTTTTAGACGAAAGAAAGAGACTCAAGGTTGACGCTATTCCTTCTATTTTCCCCTTCAACGATCGTGCCAAAATCAATGTGCCAGCGGCTGCTGAAGAAGTAGAGCTTGATTAGAGCACCAAAGGTCTCAGGACTCGCAGACGACTGATTCAGCATCTCAGTGCTCACTTCTAAGTGTCTCAAATGCTCGAGAAAGCATTCAACTTTATGAAAATGACAATTCGGCTGTACAATATAATATTTCACTGGTTTTGATAGCTACATACATTTTAAATTATTCATCAGTGTACTTGGACCTGCCATTCACCATTTGAGCTTCAAATGTCATCTGATTTCTCGAGAAGACCAGTGCTTCATGACACTTATGAAGCTCAGGCAGTGTTTTGATGATGCGTACCTTTCCAGGGTTCTCCCCAGGATGAAATTGAAACAGGGGGAGGGGAGGAGGAAGGGGGGATGGAAGGGGGAGGGGAAACTAGGGGGGTCCGGGGGCCGTGTTTTTTTACTGTACCACTAATTAATGCGTAAAATCGCCACCGCACCATAGACGGTATTTGGGGTTCTTGTATATATATAAGAACCTTGTAATTGAATGGTCTCTTGTCTGTTCACAAGAATGCCCCCTGTTGGCGGTTACGGTTACACGTACTTTCAAACCCCCCATCGTACCCCGCTTGCCACCGCCAACAGGGGGCATTCTTGTGAACAGACAAGAGACCATTCCTCACACTGCATAACAACAGTTAGGAAGGCGAGGAAAGCTAAGCCACAAGCCTAGTCAAAAGCTATGAACCATGTGAAACTAAGTAAAGTTTGAGTGAGAGGTGGATGTCCAACGCTAATTTAGATGTAATTTTTATCGAGTTGCACGTAATATATCATCGGTAAAATTAGGCAAGCAAATGTTGAATTTCACGTATTTTGGAGTGTCATACTCCTCCTATATTATCTTACTCCTGATGTCATGTGTACTGGCTGATAATGAGTGGTGCAGAATTTAGTTGTCTGGTTGTTGGGTATAAGTTGCAAAGTGTTTGAATGATGTGCTATGCGTAAAACGGTCAAGAGCTATACTGTTAAAAAATCCCAACTACTCATAGAGCATTCTAAACCCAAAATACTCCCCCGCAGACATATAAAACACTAAATAATAGCATACTATTAACAGATCTAGCATAAAATACTATGACTGTTGCAGGAAATTTCAGGGAATCTTTTGAGATTGACCACAGAATATAATAACTAACAATATATATGTACGTATACCGACTTACCTGTCCCATACACTTCAACACCTGAATGAAAAACTCCCAGGCCAAAGTTGGAAGTGTATTCATTTATCCAGTACTGTAAACAGTAAAAGAGAGACCCATTAAATTTTTAATACTGCATAACAACCCATTAATTTAATCGTATACACACTGTGAACTGAGCATGTGAACAATTAGTGCACTGAAACAGGAAAGAAACTCTTCATAATAAATTCACATTGTGTCAAAAAATCATTAGGAGCAATGAATAGATGACAAAAAATCAAAAGTCGAAGTCTACTATCTGATATATCATTGTTATATATATCCTAATTAAAGGGCTTTGGCATATTTTATTGAAGAAATTGCAGTGGTCACACAAGACAGGCTACCCCCTGCTTAGGTATTATCAATTTTGTTCTCGATGTTTTCTTTAGCCCCCAGGGCTATTCTTTGAAAATAGAGTTAATTCATTGGTCATAGGTTTGTAACTCAAGCATCAGACTAGATACTAGTCAGTGTGGAAACGGCTTTGTTCAGGCTAAACATATTTTCCTTGCAGCCCAGAAAAAAATCTATTCCTGAACAGTATACGTTGATAGATATATAGTTGGAACTTCCTTGCAATTATGTCAATGATTTCTAATGTGTCTGCATTCACTTGCTGCGAAATATAACATGTTCTATATGGCATTACATTTCATGGGAAGAATTGAGACATTTAGTACACAGTTAGATAAAGCATGACACTGACAGGCACATTCAAAACTTTTCAGCAGCACTTAAGTAATTGCAAAACTGTAAAATTATTGATAAATCTTAGAGTTGGCACACTTCCAAGCAGAAAGACCCTTCTGGTCTGGAGGTCTTGCCTAGATCGCAGATGAAAGTTTTTGTTTTCTATTCATATACAGTTACTCTATGTTAGAATAGGTGTTTTCTTTTTGCCCAGAGTAAGAACGTAGGGATTACAAACTTAAACTTCAATGCCCACCAAAATAACTAAAGAATACCAAGTCTGCTGAAAGTGCCCCAGAAATAACCTGGCTTTCATTGCTAGCATTAATTATACTGACATAAATTTAACAGAGGCACGTACGGAAAAAATGCAGATGCCTTGAATTAAATATGCTCCCAGTACTATATAACTGGTTTCACCTAATAGTTTAAAGCCGCACTATGCGCATCCAAACGCTAATTTCTCCAGTACTAGACTAGCAAATACTTCGTGTCATGCATAATCACACTACCTTATGACAAAATAAACTCTAGTTCCTCCCATTTCACTCCGCGTTGTCTTATAAAAGGCATTTGAAAATACCTCCAATGTTGTTCAAATTCTCCGATGTTGTTGACACTTTCGCGTTGCTCTGCCAAGCAACTGTAGAGCGGTGCTGCGGTACAGCGGTACGGGTGTAGCAAAGATAAAAACATGTGACGTCACCTAACCGATTATTGGCGAAATTGATTGGCAAACAATTTAGCGTTGGCGCCAGATTACCAGATTTCGCACCTCTTTCTTGTGGGTTTTAAGCAAACGCGCACTGAAATGGGAGGAACTAGAGTTTATTTTGCCATAAGGTAGTGTGATTATGCATGACACGAAATATTTGCTAGTCTAGTACTGGAGAAATTAGCGTTTGGATGCGCATAGTGCGGCAGTTACTCGAATATATATGCTAACATTTAGCAGCCAGGTTCACAGATAATTTCATAAATACCAGGAGACATTTCATTATAAAGCAATTCACAGCATGAGACGCCAGCATTAATTAGTTTCCTTTTGGGTACAGTCAGGCCATTCTCTGCATCTAAACTTACCATGTCATATATATTGACAAAGACAGGAGTTCGTGCCATTATGATGCGTATGGATCAGACCAACTTGATTTCCAAGTTCGCTTTTATAGTAAGACACCTGGAAATGTACATGAAGATCATTCTGTCACTCATCCTAATACATATTTGAGCAAATGTTTTTCATACACATCTATATATATATATGCTATCCAAAACATCGATCATAATGTAGTAACATGCATTCAAACCACACCAGTATTGGCCTTATACTTACCACCACATTTACCAGATATACTAAGAGGTAGTATGCAATGTTCTTTAAACTTATCACAATTTTGCCCAGTAAAACACTTTGAGCCACAATTAAAAAATATTTGTTTGCCCTTCACGCGACCCAGGCTGAAAAGTTTGGGTAGGTAGGTAGGCTTCTTTCTTTTTTTTACAAATTCAGCATAGTGTCTACATGCTCAGGTGTGCTTGTGTGAAGATACCTTTTATGTTGAATGTTTGTTTTGCTTGGTACATATAATCAGGAGTAGATAATAGGGAATTCCCTATTATCCTATTCCCTATTATAGGATAATTCCCTATTATCTACTCCTGATATAATGTATTGCCTGCAGATTTATATAATGTACAGTGATACAATTTGCAAACAAAAAAAATGGGAAAGATAAATAAAACATGTTGAGTCGGCCCTTTTTTGGCGGGTCGGTCGGGTGAGGTCAAACAAACCATATTTTTATTATGGCCCTGGCATTAAATTATGGTATTCTATAATGTAGTGCTGTTTGAAGGGAAAAATAAAAATGGGAGTGTGGGGGGAATGACTGAGGAAGAAGGGAAGCAAATTACAGAATTTGTTATTGGACTATTATTATTGGACTAAGCTTGCAGTTAATACTATACAAGTTTACACACTTTACAAATGAAAACCATAATATAACTCGTTGGAAGACAAAGATGCTTGAAATGTGTCATTATGTATAAGCACTCGTGTACATCTTAGCTACTCGTTAATTGCACAATTTAGCTGTAATTGTGGTAGAATGTGATTATGCTAAACTCAGTGATTCTGTGTAAACTTTTCCTAGAAATAAGCATGAGAATCCAAAAGTAGTTGCCACCCTTTTGCATCCAGTTGGTTATAGCTAGCTCTAGTATATACTATAGCCCTTCGCTCTGCCGCAGGCGGCGGAGCGAAGGGCTATATAGTACTAGAGCTAGTTGTAACAAGCCAAATATATATATTCATTTGGGATATCCTAAGTTATGCATGTTCTGTTGAAGCTTATAAACATATTTTATAAATTCTTAGTTTTTATATAACCAATTTAGAGATTGTAATGCATAGCTACTTGTTACAACCAAGATAACACAGGAATAGATATATATATATATATATACTTTATCTTAAAAAACACTACTACTATTAGTAGTACTAATAGTAATAATAGTAGCAGGAGTAAGATTATATAGGTAATATAGGTAATATTATCTTACTCCTGATAGTAGTACTACTACTAGTAATAGTACTATCAGTCTATGAGTATGAGTATGAGTATGAATAATTACGTCACTTAGCCATGCAGGAATCTCAGTCAGGGCTGTGTCTAGTCTTTAAAGTAATGTACTAATAGTACACTCTGCAGACACGGCGGCAGTACACGGTACTATGTAGATACATTATCTATATCATACAATGATACATTATATTCTTATTCTGACTAACTGAGTAACTCATTCTCAGAATGATTCTGTCACACTCACAGGCACTTGAAGCGTTTCAATAAAATATAATGCTAAATAAATACGAAATCTATTTACTACCAAAGTCTTAATGTTTCTATACTCTCTTTCACCTATTAGTATTAGTATTATTGCCGACAATTTCCTGTAAATGCCGTCCATATGCTCATCTACAACAAACACTGGCTGCCGCCAAGCGCCATTATATATATAGTGTCATATACTATACTATATATACTATATACTATATTATATATTAGTGATGTCACGATCATCGATTATACTCGATCATCGGTTCAACAGTGGCTCGAGCCAAGCGCTTGGTTATCAAAAATCCATAATCAATTTCATCAAAAAAAAAAAAATCGAAATAAAATGTTAAAACTTGAACTAAGAAAACTGGAAAGTGATGAGAATCAGAGATAGTCATCGCTACCTATACAAGTTATCCTTATTAACATACGCTCATGTATTATACACACCGTAGTAAACAGTGCCAACTAACAGTAAACAGGCTAAACAAGCACATACATGCAGCACCACGTACTGCACAGACGACGTTACGCACAACGCAGGCATTCACCACCCCGAGTAGCCGATTGTAACGATCATCAGTTACTTGGGTCCAACCGATGATGCGATTACGAAAATTACAACGCGATTAACAACACTATTAATAGTATTATATATACTATAGTAGGGCCTATATACTATAGTATAGTACACTCACACTGTTTAGCTTCTAGTACTAATAGCCCGCGTTCCGATAATCTGCGGCAGGTAGATCAAATAAGTGTTTAAAAAGCCGCAATTAACTTTGCGTTTGGCGAATGCCTTTTTCTGGGACAGGTGTAACAGGCGTAGTTGGTATTTACTAGGATACAAATAATGTATACCAAACCCAAGAGGATAGGGTACAAGTGTCCCTATGCTTTTCTGCGAGGAAATTGCCCGAGGAATGCACTCGGGCGCAGGTTTGCTGGTGCGTTGTTCAAGATAGCTAGAACTTTCCAAACAGTGGGTTTATCTCAAGGACACGAAACCTTTCTCCGCTATCTGAACAGTTACTATTGTATCGCAAATACTCTGTATTAAACTAATATAACCCTGTTACAAAAATTCGAAGTGACGAGCCGGCGAATAAAATACTACTTTTTTGACGCCCATTTTCTGTTGACGGCTCGTGACGTACTTCGGTTTGAAAGAGTGGATTTCCACGCGACCAATCGGAGGGCGCGTGCGTTTGCGCCGATCGCTATGCGCATCTGGGATAATGGCGTACGTCACAGAGTCAACAGAAATGGGCGCTCAGTATATTCGGCCGCTCGTCAGCTTCGAATTTTGTACAGTTATATTTGAGTTAATACAGAGTATTGCGATATCATAGTAAGTTGCCCCGATAGGCGGAGAAAGGTTCGTGTTGAGAATAAACCCAGTTTGGAAGTTCTAGTATCTGAAAACGCACCAGCAAACCGGCCCGAGTGATTCACTCGGGCATTCCTCCGCAGAAAAGGATAGGGACACTTTGTAACCCTATCCTCTTGGGTTTGGGTTACATTATTGTATCTAGTATTTACAGCCGACAATGTACTATAGCCCTGCGGCAGTTTATCGAACGCGGGCTATAGTACTAGAGCTAACTCACACTGGCGCTTTGCGGAAGCCCGTGTTTGTTGTAGACGAGCATTTGGACAGCATTTACAGGAAATTGTCGGCAATAATAGGTGAAAGAGAGTATAGAAACATTAAGACTTTGGTAGTAAATAGATTTCGTATTTATTTAGCATTATATTGTATTGAAACGCTTCAAAGTTCAAGTGCCTGGCTGTGGCTGTGCTCACTGCTGTGGTCAGTGTGGACTGTGCCACTCACTGTCACTGTCAGTGTCAGTCATTCACTTCAGCAGTCGCATTTTTGAATTACAATATAAATATTGTTGAAGTCAACTTACACATATGGGCTTGTTATTTACAATAAATATAATCCGTTTTGATACACAAGCAATAAATTGTGATGTTATTTACACTTATAAAGAGAGTTTATTTCCTTCTTGAAATGGAATAATCTTGAATCAGGCGCAGTGCCAGTTGTTTATAGGCCTACAGTATGACTCATTCTTCCGCAACGTCATGTCCGGCCCGTTTTTGAACTGTAGTATAAGTATAATATAAAATTCATACAACGGTGAAATATTTTTATTTTAAATAAGCAACACCGGTAGAAAATAAAAAAACATCATAAATAAAACTCGTTTATTTTTAACAATAATAACACAAAGACACTAGGTCACAGCCTGGTAGGTATAAGAAACTCAATATGGCTTCCCATCGTATCTCAGTAAAACTTTGCCAGTTATCAAGGACTTGTTCTTCTAAGTTGCTACAATCAAAATGTATACCTAGTCAAAAACGTTTTGCAAGAGTAAGTCTTGTTAACATGTGCCAAATTAAAAAGATGCTAAAATAGGAATCAGTGATGGTATTATTAATAATAATATTAATTACTAATTAGAAAAATAGTAATACTAATACTAATAATATTACACAACACATGTGACATTGTCATTTGATTTATATCTGCGTTTTACTCGGAGTCGGTGCTAATGAACTTGTTTCAATGTTTGATCTGCCCGTTCGCATCGCGGAGACAGATGCCCAATCCTAATTTAGGCTGAGAGGGTCTATGTCACCCAGGCCCAGGGACAGGGTACTGCCGGAACGTACCCTAGATACCACAGGCACTTGAAGCGTTTCAATAAAATATAATGCTATCTAAATACGAAATCTACGAATGTTTCTATACTCTCTTTCACCTATTATTGCTGACAGTTTCCTGTAAATTTCGTCCAAATCCTACGTCCAACCATACGCTGCCGGGGCCATTGCTTTCGCGGCGCGACTGTTGCACGCTTACACTAATATATATAGCAGGTAGGAAAGCCGGATCGCAAAATTCGTTCGACGCTCACTGGATTTCACACTTTCACAGCACCAATACACATCCAACAGCTTCCGTCTTTGTTTCTCTTTCAACAACAGTGTTCGCTTGTTATAAAAACAATGTCTCTGTTCGTAACCGAGCTGTGTCACGCGAAATCACACAAAGACTGACGAAATTCTCGCGTTAGCAAACCTTTCACAGTAATGTAAATGTCTGTCAGAATCAGGAAACACCTACCGGCACTCTTCGTGACCTCATTCTTGCGCCGCAACGCTGCAACGTTTTTCCAACGTTCCAATGGCGAGGCTCGTACGGGAGTTGGAAAGCAGTGCGCCGCCTATAGTTCATAGACTGGCACTCGTTCCCACCTTTCGGCTTAGCTTAGTCACTCGGTAGGTAATCGAGGTGGGAGCGATTCCCAGGCTATATAGCCCTGTATTCTGACAGAAATTTACATTACTGTGGAAGGTTTGCGAACGCGAGAATTTCGTCAGTCTTTGTGTGATTTCGCGTGACACAGCTCGGTTACGAACAGAGACATTATGTTTTTAGCTCATCTGACGAAGTCAGATACAGCTTATAGAATCGCACGATCGTCCGTCCGTGCGTCAACAGTTGGGCACAAATCTTAACCGCTCGACGTACGGTCACGATATTCGGGACGTCGGTGGGGGATCGTCAAAACGAGTTGGGATGTCGAAGCTGGGGGTCAAAGGTCAAGAGGTGTAAAAGAAGGGGGAACATTCCCTTCTTAACTTAAGGTATAGGGAGGAAATGCAGAATTGCGGCACAAATCTAAACGGCTCGACCTAGGCTCGTGATAGTCGGTGTATAGCATCATGGTAGGAAAAGCCATCACTGTGCCGAAATTGGAGGTCACAGACTCACAGGTCAATGGGGCACAGGGCAGATTTTAGACATTTTCTGAGGACATGGTCTGACGGAGCGATTGAAAAACTTTTTTGTTTCAGCGGTGACCTAGCATTTTTATGTCTTTATTTAAAGGACCATGAAATGTACCTTCTGCTGACATGCGAAGAGTAAGTGTTGGATAACCTTTTGACCCTCAAGAGGAGGGTTAAACATGGATTTGTTTACTGTCTGTTAGAAAGAATTTGACTGCCGGGTTTGTTAGTAGAATCTATACATGCCTGGATGTATGAGGCTGCAATGTCACAGTGAAATTTCAAAAGCTAAATTTGGTTGAAGAAGGTTTATGCTCCTTAAATCGTATAATTTCTATGGCATTCTGTACTGTCAGTATGTTACATGTAACGTATGCCACTGCCAGTGCATGTGGTGGTGGTACTGTGTAGTTTTTGCCTGCGTTAATTAGTTACAGGTGGCAGCTCTCTATTGCAGCCTGTAGGCTTGCGTAGGTAAATGGATGAGTGCTTCCCTATTCTGTCTTGCAAATAGTTGTTGCTACTACGTACGATGGGAGCTTCCATCTTTAATCTGAAGACACTTAAACGTACGCGCCATATCGTGGCAACTTTCATAACGATCCCAACGAACATTCCTTTGAGAAGGTTCCTGATACCATCCCTGTGCATTCCCAATGTTTCGGCGTGTATGTGAACACATTTGGGACTAACAGGGTTTACTAGAATCCCACCACTCCACCACAGAGTCACCGCAGTAGACATTAGATGAGCGCTGTCGCTCCGCGGCACTTGTTATAACAAGTGAACACTGTTGTTGAAAGAGAAACAAAGATGGAAGCTGTTGGATGTGTATTGGTGCTGTGAAAGTGTGAAATCCAGCGAGCGTCGAGCGAATTTTGCGATCCGGTTTTCCTACCTGCTATATATATATTAGTGTAAGCGTGCAAAAGTCGCGCCGCGAAAGCAATGGCACCGGCAGCGTATGGTTGGACGTAGGATTTGGACGGAATTTACAGAAAACTGTTGGCAATAATAGGTAAAAGAGAGTATAGAAACATTAAGAATTTGGTAGTAAATAGATTTCGTATTTAGTTAGCATTATATTTTATTGAAACGCTTCAAGTGCCTGTGCTGGGTACGGTCCGGTATACCGGAACGTACCCTGGTACTATCTAATACTAGTAATAACTAATATGCCGGACCGTACCCAGCACTACTGAGCCTACTCGCCTACTCCACTAATGAGTCTAGGGAGTCGCCTACGCCTACTCGCTAACTCTAACCCTAACCATCTCAGATAGTTGCCAGGGTACGTTCCGGCAGTACCCTGGGGGACATAGACCCTATGAGCCTAATTTAGCACCCCGGATTAGTTTAACACATATGCGAACTATATATACTGGGGTCCCTAAGTAAGCAGTTTCAATAAAAATGATAGTAAATAAACTAACGCAGTGGCTCGTGCTCCGGTAACCGGAGCGAGAGTTCTTTGGCTCCTGCTCCGGCAATCCCAGAATGCATTGCAAAGTCATCAAGTGAGCCTGTCCAGCGGAACACAGAAAATGTCGGCGTATTTTGGTTAGATGGAATATCAAAATGCAACATTTGTTCAATATTATCATAAAGATTCACGGATCATTAATGCTGATAAGAAAAGAGTACCGAAACGAGTGGAAAAATGCTAACGAAAATTTGAAGTATTACACTGAACTACGCCTGTGTTTTTGCTGGTTACCGGAGCAGGAGCCACTGCAATAAACTAAATGCCAAAGTTTTGATGGCATACTGTTCAAATGCCACATACAAAATTACAAGCTCACTGTGACATTCCACTTGCACTTTCACATAATATTATAGAGTGGGAGTGCATGCCATAACAAACATACCGAGGTTACTTTCCCCTGAAATACACAATGTATCTACTCAACTCAAGTTAAACTGTGCAAGCATTCTGTGCATCAAAATATTTCGACCTGATGCATTCAAAACAAAAGCTTCCTTGTTCAAACCTTGCATTTCAATGTTTGCATCAGCAAAAGCATCTCACGCTTTTTGTGCAGAGTAATTATTATTATTGATACAGCAATTCTATATCGAGAAAGTTTGTTCGTCATTAGGACATGTTATATAGTAGTAATTAGTACGTAATTAAGCTGAAATTCTTATAATTTTACTCATATCAATTAACCAAAGTAAGTGTGAGTAAGAGATTATTATTTTCTCATTGCTGGTTTATAATAAAAAAAACTATATACTCTAGACTAGGCACTGTTGTTGTGCAACCTGTGCATGCACAAGTACATTTTGAATGAATGGCTGTAGCGGTTTGTGTAAATTTTTAAAACTACATTCATTACTTCACAACAAGGTTTGTTTGTGCTAAACAGCATTTTTTGAACATTTTATGTGGTAATCAAAAACTGGTAGTGTATCAATAAATATTTATGACAGCTTTTTTGTTGGGGGAATACAGTTTTAAAGCTATACCATTGCACAAATATACAGCCAAGGGCTTCCATCTTTGTATCTGTGCCTTGCCCAAGATTCACCTGGGTTAGGGTGAAATTAACACATCAGCTTTTCACGACGCCCACCGATCTCTCCCTAACCATACGTGTAGAGTGTAAATTGCTTCTGTGTTTTTAGCTCATCTGACATAGTCAGATGCAGCTTGTAGAATCGCATGATCGTCCGTCCGTGCGTCCGTCC